TCGCGACTGAAATCGCGTGAAGTATGCCCGGCCCTTTAAGAAACAATTAACAGTCAGAAGAATAAGGTTTTCAAGATGAGTAATAAAAATGACAGATGAAGAGCTCACCAGCAACAGGTCAATCTCCTCGATATCTATAAAGTCCACAAATGGAAGGGCATCTACGCCATGCATACCAGGATGAACGCCGCAGTCTAGCTAAAATGATTCTGAATAACAAGTGAAGAATGACCAAAATGTCCAACTCACCAAGATTTTCTTCCCCTTGAAGTGAAGCAGGTGACAAGACCTGCCAACCTCCTGGCCGGATCCGCTAAAAGAATTCTGATAATAACTATAGCGCCTATTTTAAAATCAAAGAACTCACAGTGGAGTGAAACACATGATATCCGAGCTTGCTCCTCCATCCTCATCCATTGTCTAACCCCTAGAGAAAAGATTTAGTAAACATAAAATGAAACTGAATGATAGCACAACACTGGTATGTTCGGATCAAAACCAGACATTATATGGAATCCATGAGAATACATATTTATTGGCAAAAATAAAAAAAGCGACGGGAGCAAAGATTATGTTAGTGAAAGTATACCAGCAAGATTTGTAAGGATGATCAAGCTCATTTTGGACTTTGGTATATGGTGTATAGCAACACTACAAAATGCAAAACGACTAGAAAACGTTGTACAGATTGCAAATCAGTCGACGTTAAAACAAGCTGTATTACAAATGAAGCAAAAGACCTCGCATTGGCCCCACAATTTTTCACTTCTAGTCATATAAGAGCAAGTTGGTCTGTTCATTGAATATACTAGTCTTGCTTAGGGTTGAGCAAGATGGGACCGCTTTCCGCCACATTCGGAGTATATCGACGGGAACCGTCATCGTTGCCCTCATTTCCGACAGTACGATTTCCTTCAGTACCTACAACACCACTCAGATTAGGGAAAAAAGGCAGTCCAACAGCCTGAAACAAAAAAGTAGCAACACATTTGAGCTTGGATGTTGTTTTGAGATCAGAGGCAAAAGGTCATTACCACACGCTCCAAGGTGCCAGTACTACAAGGCCTTCTCTTGAGTAATGAAAGATGTGAGTACTCAATGCTCTCTCCCACGTCTCTTAAGGCAGCAACTCGGCAAAATTTCGTTTTCCATCTTCACCTTTTCGGGACCTTCTCGCCATGAGGAACCCAT